ATTCTAGTGATATTTAACAATAGTTTCATGCTAAATAATAATATATGTCATCATTCTAGTGGTATTTAACAATAATTTCATGCTAAATAATAATAGATGTCATCATTCTAGTGATATTTAACAATAATTTCATGCTAAATAATAATATATGTCAGCATTCTAGTGGTATTTAACAATAATTTCATGCTAAATAATAATAATATATGTCAGCATTCTAGTGGTATTTAACAATAATTTAAAGTACAATTTCAGAATACATGTATGTCAGTGTATGTGATTTATTTTTTGTGTTGGTTGGGTATTTTAAAGCAAAGCCACATTGAGCTATCTCCTGTGTCCACCGCGACTAATCAAACCTCAGGCGTTAGCATTGTAAGTCCAAAAACTTACCACTGTCTTACCGGGGTACTTTTTTTTTGTTGAAAACTAGCGGATGTTAAGATAGCTACTGACGACTTGTCATGTAGAGTTCGGGTTGTGTACGTCAAGAGTTAACATGCAAGAATATTTCATTCTTATAGAAAATATAAGTATGTGAGATGCAGTAGCGGAATCTTCCTAATGTTTTTCACTGTTGTTGTTGTTGTTAAGATTCTAAGTTTAAAAATTTGCCATTATCTTTTTATTTAAAGGCAATAAGGTATTCTATAATCTAAAAATCACCTGACATCGTCAACGAACGAAAGAAAACAAAAACCGCTTCGAATAAACAAGATTTTCTTGCTTAATTAAAATAAAAAGGCATTGAAGAAGATGTGCTTAAACACTGACTTAATAAACACTTTAATTATAATTGTCATTGATTAAAGTAAAAAGGCATTGAAGAAGATGTGCTTAAACACTGACTGAATAAACACTTTAATTGTAACTGTCATTGATTAAAGTAAAAAGGCATTGAATTGTATTGTTTGTAATTAAGTACAAAGCTACACAATGGGCTATCTGTGCTCTGCCCACCACGGGTATCGAAACCCGGTTTTTAAAAAAGGCATTGAAGAAGTTGTGCTTAAACACTGACTGAATAAACATTTTATTGTAATTGACATTAATTAAAGTAAAAAGGCATTGAAGAAGATGTGCTTAAACACTGACTTAATAAACACTTTAATTGTAACTGTCATTGATTAAAGTAAAAAGGCATTGAAGAAGATGTGCTTAAACACTGACTTAATAAACACTTTAATTGTAACTGTCATTTATGATGATATACTTGTTTTGGTTTAAAGTTTTTACCCAACGCCTGTAGAGGCTCATGTAAAACAGTAAACAATAAATATTTCAATCATCGTATAATTTAGCCGTACAGAGTCAGCATTATTTCACGCCGTATGAGGTTTTTACTCTCAGATAAGGAGGGTGCTTCTAGTTAAAAAATAAAATTCCCACTTTTAAACATAATTTTATAAAATGTATTTAAAGTATTTTTCGCAGTCGAAAAGCAGCTAAGTAATGCTCCGTGTCGTTTTAAAACCTGTTCTGAAAGAAAGAACTGTGCGCAAGTAAATGACTTCTGTCGTCCGAAGATCTACCATTTTGGGCCTGAACTCTGAAGATTCAGTCAAAACGCCTTCTGTGCTCAAGATTTACATTAACACGCACAAGAACAAAAGCTTTCAAGAAGATAACCAGTATTTTCTGGAAATAACTTTATCGAAAACTCTCCAAATTGTATATAGCAGTATAGGTATGAAATGTACATTTGCTCAAATTATTTATACTAGACACTTTCTTTATATGCCAACGATTTGAAAAAAAATATTCAACATGAAAAAAAAAGTTTGGTGGTGTAAATTTCTGGATGCTTCCTACAATTAATAAACTCACCTCATTTTCATTCTGCATTTTGAAAAGTGTTACTATTACTATTTTACTTTTTGCACTTTTAACTCGAATATACACAAATATTAATGTAGCTGAAATTGATAAGAAAACTGCATAAAGTCATGAAGAAGTAATGTTCATAAAACAGGTGGTGTCGTAAGAAATAGGGCGAGTCTTATCAACCTCTTCACTGGTTTATTTCAAATCCACCCATAGATGGGTGAGGTGGTCCAGATCAAAAGATACACCTTACCCGTATTACTTTGTGTAAACAATTGTCTTGAATCAAATCGAGCGGGGAGGGGGGGGGGAGAGAAAATGTTTTGGTATCCAAATATAATGCGTTTCCCTACGAATAATCGTGGTAAGATTGTACAAATTTGATATGGTGTAACACTACGGCCGAAATAACAGACCCATAAGTCACTAACCCTACGTGGAATTATTTTTGTCTCAGGATGATATGTGGTGCAAAGATAGACGCTACAGGGATGTGACGCAATAGCTTATATAAGTAGTTGTGTAGTATGTATTGCCATCTGTGGGACAGCAGTAAGTTTACGGACTTACAACGCTAAAATCCGGGAGTCGATTTCAGACGGTGGACACAGTAGATAGCCCAATGTGGCTTTCATATAAACAAACAACCATTTTCCAGGATTTCTCGGAAATATTTCGATATTCAATTTTACGTATGAAAACCGGAAGAAATTCGGTTGGGGAAAAAACCGAATGGTGTTTCCTGGAAATAAAATCGGTATTAAAATTGTTAAAAATATTCAATTTAATCCATACTCTAGAATTTAAAATAATAAAATACTTGCTGGAAATCCACTTTAATTTTCGCCTATAAATTAACCTTCATACTTCTACTAACAGATTATAAAGATGTTTTGTTTTGTGAGATACTTGAACATGAAATGAGCGGTTGGGCTATTTCTAAAGCTAGACATCCTTAGACCATCCATATTTTGGAATGAGATCAGGTTAGAAATGGCTGTGTTAACAAAACTGAAATAAAATCATTTATTTTTGAGGGTCCTTTTGTTAATTTTGTATGTATTTTTCCTATTTAATAGTATATGTGAAACAATACTTTTTCTGCAGCATGAAACGTTTATTTTGTAAAATTATAAATTATAAATAAGTTTTATTTTTAATACCATTTTAGTTGTTATCAAATAATAGCAATAAAAATATATTTTAAGTAGGGACGTTTTATTTTTTGTTCGTAATTAAGCACAAAGCTACACAATGGGCTATCTGTGCTCTGCCCACCACGGGTATTGAAACCCGGATTTTAGCGTTGTAAGTCCGCAGACATACCGCTGTGCCACTGCGGGACATTTTTTTTAATCCCATGGTTTGTTGTTACCAAACAATAACAAATAAAATTGTTTTTAAGTAGTGAAGTTTTATTTTTAATCCCATTGTTTGTTGTTACCAAACAATAACAAATAAAATGTTTTTAAATAGTGAAGTTTTAATTTTAATCCCATTGTTTGAGAAACTTTTTTTCAAGTTTCATATAGACAGTTTTAATTTTAATCCCATTGTTTGAGAAACTTTTTTCAAGTTTCATATAGACAATTAAGGAAACTCAAAATGTTCTTTTCTATTCTATTGTAAGAAGAGTTAGTAGCAAATCCGCCCCATTCGATATATCTAGGGGAAAATGGTGTTTTTATTTTGATAACATCCTCCCTACATGTACACGTTTAGTTTAGGGGTAGGAATCAAGATATGTTCTCTGAGTAACTCACTGTTTATTGAATTATTCCAGTCCAATCCAGAAGATCTAAACGTATACGAATATGAATCAGAAGAGGCTGATCATAACATGGAGGTAAACGACACTCTTCGTCGAGTAAAAATGGAAGATGTTGGAGATCCAGAGGTGCTTGCCAAATTACAGAGGCAAGAACACGAAGAACGAGAAGAAATAGAACGAGAATTACGGGTTCATAATGAAAGAATACAACGCGAGACAGCTGCAGCAATTAAAAGACAGGCACGCGAAGCTGCTAGTTTTATGCGGGTAAGAACAACACCAACATCTTTAGTTACGTCATCTGCATCAAATTTGTCATCCCCACCACCTGCTTTTCCAGTGTTTACTCCTCAGCTGCACAGTCGCCTTTTGCCAACTACTACACCCCCCTGTTCAAGTCCTGGAAGTTCAGCGTCTCAGTCCTCACCATCTCCATCAATTAACAGCATAGCAGCTTCAACAGGTAGACAAACGCCAGGTCAAGACCCAAGTAAATATTCCTTTGAGGAACAATTTAGACAGGTTTGTTGTTAACGTATTTGTTCAATTACTTGCACTTCAAAGTTCACACAGAGTACTGACCAGATTGTCTGTTTGTTTGTCTGATGACAATCAACACCTCTCAGAGGACAGAGATAAAGAAGACAACAGATACCTTAACATGTTATGTCGCATTCAGTTCCCCGAGGTTTAATGTGTAATTCGCAACAAAACATATTCAGAGGATTGGCTGCATGGTTTTACTTGAAATTTGACACGAACGTCTAATTTATCATTTAAAATAAAGTGTGCGAAATTAGTTTCGTGAATGCTGCTTTCCGAGAATTTTCAAACGTTATCATGAAATTTGACAAGTACTGTAGACATGGAGTCAACATAGGGATTTGTACTATTGTAGCTAGAGAAAATAATGTAGACACTATTTCCAGCCTAGTTTACTTTTTTTTAGAGTCCCTAGTGGTAGGCTTGAAAATATAATTTTTGTAGTTTGATTTAACTTGTTTTTGTACTTTTTTGACGATCCCTATTCTCCTTTTTGAATTAACAGTTCTTAATTACCTTGTTTACTAGTATACAGTGCATGTGTTAACTTGAAAATGATATTCTGGACTCACAAAGATGTCATCTAACACGCGGTACAAGGGTTTTGTGTAACCTTTTTTATTTTATTTATATTTGAAAAATGAAGCTGCGTTACAGTAATGTACGATATTTACGATTTCGTCAAGTGCTTATGTTTATCACTGGTCATGTGAGATATTAAATAATTATTGTGGGACTCCAGTTTTTTTTCAGAGTTTCTGCCTTAAGGCTCTAAATAAATTATTAATTTGGTTTAATATTACCCTTTATGTCAATTTTGGATTCAAAAGAGCTCTGACCAAATTCCACACCTTAGGGACATTTAATTGTGAAATGAAACCATTTTTTAAATCCATGCTGTTTTCTTTCCCTCTTCTTTTTTGTGCCCGAGAATAATAACCAAGCTTATACTCTTTGAGTACGTTTAATCATACTGTTTAAAATAAGTAATGTTTTTAAGCATGATGGATCACATTGTATTATAACACACGTTTTGTTTTTGTTGCAAGTTATGTTTATAATAGTTATTATATGTACTGATGCTTCCCTTGTAATACTTATAGACCACAAGAAAGGTTAAACGATTTTCATTGCGGTTTATATCATGCTATCAAAAAGTACAGTATTCAATAGTTTGTGGTAAAACTTTTATTACTTAAAAACTTCCGATTACAAGTATCATGATTCATAATAGGAATCGCCCAGGAATTTAAAAATTCTAATAGAACCTACGAGCAAAACCATCTTAAAAAGCAGACTTATTCTTGAGATAACACTCAAGACCTTCTATCTCAGTGGCTAAGGCTACTAAAATATTGATTTTCCGTTTGTGAGACAAAATTCAAAATTTCCTTCATTTGTTGTCATACTATTATTATTATTCATATGATTCTTGTTTCACAAGTCTACAGAAAAAACGGCGAGGAATATTTTATTCAAACCTGTGCAAACCTACTAAAAACCTCCTTTTCAGGTCATGGGACTACTTTTATGTTGGTTCTTGAAAGAGAGATTTTATCAGCTTTTTCATCGATAATGACCAAGTTTCTTTTCGAAGCCATTCAAACACCGAAACCTAAAAAAAAAACAAAAAAAAAACGGTTAGGTATATTGTGCCAAAATCTATGGAACAAACATACTAAACAAACGCTGTGAAGGTTGTAGGACTACTTTTTAAGTTGATTCTTGAAAGTCGAGATTTCCACCCTCTAAAATTTTCTAAGTTCTTTTCTACCAACATAAGCTCTTCGAAGCCATTCAAACATAGTAGAAATGTAGAAGCCATCTACGCGCAGTCATACTGGTCGAAAACGCTTCGTTTTATTAGAGTGAACAATGTGTGTATATTTATAACAATGTCTCCAGCCTTATTATTATTGATTATAGTTTTATAAGCTGCTACAGAAAAAAAGCAGCTACGAATATTGTACTGAAACCTGGACAATAGCAATGAATGCAGTATTGAGTATGTCACACTTTAGTTTAAAAATTAATCCAATCACTTTTTTTTGCCCTGAATAATTTCTTTAAGTTCTAAAATTCGCATTAATTGAAAAATAATTTGTGCAACTTACAGCTCATTAATTGGAAACTGCCACTTTGAAGACTCGTCATTTCTCGAGTTCGCTCTTCTTCATCGTTTCATTTTTGTACTTTGTCTCTTCGTGGTTTTCTGCGACTATTTCAGCGTGTTTTCTAATAGTATCGATTTCTCTACTCTTGTGAGTGGTGATTTATTCTACTGATTTTCGTACTTCGCTGAAATTGTGAGTGCGTATTTTAGTATTATCTTATTATTATTAAACACATTTTTGTTTCACAAGCCTACAGGAAAATCGGCTGGAAATTTTGCACCAAAACCTAGACATATATACTATATGAAACACTGCAAAAGTCCAAGTTGATTTACGTGGCTATAAATACACATTATATGCGATTTTGTTGTGAGCAGCTTCCTTTGAATTCGACGCTTCTTAAATGCATGCGTGTTTACACGAAACCTCAGGCACAAAACCACCTAGCTCAGTAAATAATAGTTGGGTGGAAAAAAGCCAACGCAAAAGTAAACATATAAAATTCAACTGAATGCATGTGCACGTATGTAGCCTAAAATTTATTCTCCATAAATGAACATAAAAAACTTAAGAAACAATTTAGCTAAAATTTTTTAATTTAAAAGGGGGAATAGGGATCGTCAAAAAGTGCAGAAACAAGTTGAATCAAAATGTAAAGATAATATTCTCAAGCCGACAACTAGGGACACTAAAAAGTAAAGAAGCTAGCCTGAAAATAGTGTCTATATTATTTTCGCAATCTACAAATCCCTATTTTGACTCCATGTCTACAGTACTTATCAATTCTAGTGGAGTCAAAATATGGATTTTTAGCTTGAGAAAATAATATAGACACTATTTCCAGGCTAGTTTGGTTACTTTTTGTAGTCCCTAGGCTGTAGGCTTGAAAATATATTCTTTGTATTGTGGTCGAACTTGTTTCTTTACGTTTTTGACGATCTCTATTCCTCTTTTTAAATTAGCAATTTTTAATTATCTTGTAACGTAGGCTCATTGCTGTACCAGACCCTCTAGTTTTCACTAAGAGTAGCTGTTTTACAAAGAACATAGAGACTAATACTTTCTAGTTAATTTTTACATTTTGTTAGTTGACTGTAGACAGGTGAAGAAAATGTCAATGCGTTAGTATAATTTATTTTCATGTTTCAAACCATTAAAACTACTTTTTTGTTATTGCTTAATTACATTGTACTGTTTAGTAACACAATTGTATATGTGGGAGTTTTATAATTTTCTGTGTTTATTTTGAACATTTGGTACTTTTTGTATATATTAGTATTATATATTTTACATTGGAAACATCTTATGTTTAAAGGTGACTAACGTAATCCAAAGCTGTATGGTTTTCAAACTTAACTTTCATATACGAATTCACCAATGATTTTGTGACGACTGTACATGTAAAGTTTTTGGATTTGTATCTGTGATCATTAGTATTTCTGATATAATTTTGTTATCTAAATGCATCAGCTAGGAGAAATAATTGTAATTTAACTTGTTTGGAAAATAACAAAGACATTCATAAGTACTGTGAATACAAGTTAGGATGCTTTCGAATAATAATGATTTCTTAGATAAATGAAAAAAAATTAGTACTATTTGTGTACACATGTTAATTAAGTGAGAATGTAAATCAGTAATATGTGCTCTGTAAAATTGTCGAAAGTGTCTTCACAATATCTAAATGTGGCTACCAATTACTTGCAAAAAACACAAGTGACTATAATGTGTCTGTGTGTGCACCCTTTCAATTGTGTTACAGTTGGTGAAACAGATTGAAAGATTCACAGCACAATTCGTGAATACATACAAGCAGCAAGTTGATTGGGGGATGCGTGTAATGTTACATTAGAATGTAATAATGGGTTATGCTATCTATTTATCTGATATATGCCATAATATGTTGGTATATGAAGGGTACAGTAACTTGCACAAGTACAGGTATGAAGATCTGAAAATCATTCTGCATTCAAATTGGAGAAAACTACTTTAATCATCAGTTTTTTGTTTGTTTTATCTATGCAGTCCAAGAACCCTGATGCTTTCCAAATTTAGATAGGTTAAGCTCAGATTCCACCCGCAATGAAAGTTAATTGGAGTTTAGCCATATAATTTTGGCAATGTTTCAGGTTTTGTTGCTGCTGAAGCAGGATCTTATAAGTTATGGGTTAATGTGTGTTTTTTTTAAGTTAAAGACTGAGAAGTTTTTAATTATGCTCTATGAATGATTATAAGTTATGGGTTAATGTGTGTTTTTTTTAAGTTAAAGACTGAGAAGTTTTTAATTATGCTCTATGAATGATTATAAGTTATGGGTTAATGTGTGTTTTTTTAAGTTAAAGACTGAGAAGTTTTTAATTATGCTCTATGAATGATTATAAGTTATGGGTTAATGTGTGTTTTTTTAAGTTAAAGACTGAGAAGTTTTTAATTATGCTCTATGAATGATTATAAGTTATGGGTTAATGTGTGTTTTTTTTAAGTTAAAGACTGAGAAGTTTTTAATTATGCTCTATGAATGATAATATTTCAACATCATTCTTGCATTCTGAGAAACGAATATGGACGGCAGTTTTGTGCTTTTAATTTAAGTCTTTGTTTTTATGTCACTTGCTTTCAAGATAGATATTTTAGTTGTTCAAAAATGGTTAACTAAAAAAGAAAAACTGATTAATTACTCAGGACTATCTTGAAGACTTTTCTAGTATTAAACTAATCAACACGTGCGCCTATTGAGTCTGATGTAAATATAGATATAATACTCGGTACTTCTAATCAACTGCTTAACTTGGGTGACTTTGTGAATGTATAATATTCAGTGCCGATAATTAGCTTGTTGTGAGTTTATGTCAACTACCTGAGCATGGTGAGCCTGATGTTGTTATATAATCTTCACTGCTTCTACCTTATACATGGTGAACCAGGAATGATGTTCAATGCTTCCAATTAACTGATTGTGCTTGATGAGTCTGATGTGATTGTGTAATATTTGTTGCTTTAACATGAATTGTATGAGTGAAATGTGGTTTTATACTGTTCAGTACTTCAGAATAACTGATTGTGCTTGATGAGTCTGATGTGATTGTGTAATATTTGTTGCTTTAACATGAATTGTAGGAATGAGATATGGTTTTATATTGTTCAGTATTCTCAATCAACTGATTGTGCTCAGTGAGCCTTACGTGTTTGTGTACTCTTTGTTGCTTTAACTTGGGTTTTATGGGCTAGATGTAGGTTTATATTGATCAGTACTTCAAATCAACTGATTGTGCTCAGTGAGCCTTATGTGTTTGTGTACTCTTTGCTGCTTTAACTTGGGTTTTATGGGCTAGATGTAGGTTTATATTGATCAGTACTTCAAATCAACTGATTGTGCTCAGGGAGCCTTCTGCGTTTGTGTAATCTTTGCTGCTTTAACTTGGGTTTTATGAGCTAGATGTAGTTTTATATTGATCAGTACTTCAAATCAACTGATTGTGCTCAGGGAGCCTTCTGCGTTTGTGTAATCTTTGTGCTTTAACTTGGGTTTTATGAGCTGTTGTTTAGTGCTTCCACCTGTGTATTTTTGCTTTACATATATGTTATTATTTCTGTTTGTTAAACAGATATTCAGCAACATTTCTTTTTTTCACAAATTAATAAAAAAAAAAAAACGTATCATCTATAAAGTCAATGGTAGGGTTTCCGATAAAATGATTTACATATTCAAGTATTGAATACTTGTTTTATCAACACTTTGAGATTCGGTTAGAAGACATTTACAAATAGGAAATGTTAATTAAGATTTTACTATAAATGCTGATCTAGCTTTACTGCTTCTTACCCCACATTGTGACGTCAGTGAACCTTTTTTAAGAGCCTCCCTCCACTCACCCCCTCCCCTCTCTCTCTACTACCCAGAGTTGTACACTAGAAATTTGTGACAGTACATGGCACGTGTCGCCCGCACGATGGCCTGCTGCCAGTCTCAGCCATCAAGGTTGTGAGTGACTCTCCCACCCAGAGTCGTTTTGAAATCGTATTCTTTATCCTTCAAAATAACGTTTTCTGAACTTAAAAACAAATGTCATTTAGCAAGGCGCGCGTCATTCACATAGGCTGAATAAATTGGAACTTACTACATTCCAAAATAATGAATCATTATTCAGTTCGCATTGAAGGATTACATTTAAGAGAACAGCGCTAAGATTTTATTCCCTATAAAAAGGTTACATTCCAAGGTATTAACTAGTTCACAAAAAAATTACGTTCAGTAAATCGGCGATTAGATGTTAATCCATGCAACAAAGTTATAATCTAAAGTGCTGTGATATTAACCAGTCCACATGAAAGGATCACATTCAATAGAACGACACTGAGATGTTAATCCATGCGACAAAGTTATAATCCAAAGTGCTATGATATTAACCAGTCCACATGAAATAATCACATTCAATAGAACAGCACTGAGATGTTAATCCATGCGACAATGTTATAATCCAAAGTGCTATGATATTAACCAGTCCACATGAAAGGACCACATTCAATAGAACGACACTGAGATGTTAATCCATGCGACAAAGTTATAATCCAAAGTGCTGTGATATTAACCAGTCCACATGAAAGGATCACATTCAATAGAACGACACTGAGATGTTAATCCATGCGACAATGTTATAATCCAATATGCTATGATATTAACCAGTCCACATGAAAGGACCACATTCAATAGAACGACACTAAGATGTTATATTGAATGTGATCCTTTCATGTGGACTGGTTAATATCATAGCACTTTGGATTATAACATTGTCGCATGGATTAACATCTCAGTGCTGTTCTATTGAATGTGATCCTTTCATGTGGACTGGTTAATATCACAGCACTTTGGATTATAACTTTGTCGCATGGATTAACAGCACTGAGATATAATATTACAAACTGTAACAGTGATAATAAAACTTGCATGCATATTATTATTTGTGTGTGTAAAACCTTAAAACAGTGATTCATTGTTGTTTTTTTTGTGTGTTTTGGATAGAAATCGTTTAACGGAGGAACTTCGAGTTCGAGATCTGATAAAGACAAGAATTCGGAGGCACTCGGCGTAGCTTCGGTAAGTGTAAATTATACCATTTTTACGTGTTTGAATGTAAATATATTTGATTTGAATATCTTTTTCATATGGAATGTAGAAGCTGCAATTATCATTTTTTACTTTGACTTGGGTAGAAATTAAGTTGTGCATTGAAATTAATCAGATTAAATTGACTAGCGAAACTAGTAAACACAAAATATTTGTAAATAAGTGTTAAGCCCACCAGGCCTGTTAGCTTGTCTCTGATAACACAGGCCTGCGAAATTTAACTTCATAAAAGTTGTTTTAATTTTAATAACAGATTTTCCATAATTCAGCTACAAAGATTTCGAAAATAATATCCATTTTTTTCTATAACGTAAGGATTTTTTACAACTCTTACTTAGATCAAGTTATTATTTCGTTTTCCACAATGAACCTTTTTATTATTATGTTTGTTAACAAAAATACAAACAAACTGAAGAAAAGAGAAGAACACGAATATGCATCCTCATTCATCCTTATTTTTTGTGACATTACGTCTTTTTTTAGTCGCTAAAATACGTGTTGTGGTCTTTCTTTTATGTATTTCGTTTTATGAAAAATCTGTACGTGATGGCGAAATATGTATATCATTTTCGGATTCAGCGAACATGTAAAACATGTAAAATTTCATAACAATAAAAGCATCACAGGCCTGTGTAATATTTTATTATCATTAATTATAACTTTTCAATTAAGTTTGGATTTAACTGGATTGGATATTTTTTATCAGGCTTTTAAGATAACATTGTCATAATTATTAAAATGGAATAATTATATGTTGAACACAGTTCAGTAATAATTTCAATCTTAAACCATATGAAACAGATTTGCCATTTTGATAATTGACTTTGATTTGTCACTCTCGTTACGTTATTTAAGAATTAATTGTTCAACAACAGCAACACAAGTACTTTTATGTCGTTTCCCTTTTTGACAAAGCTGGATGATTGTTGTTAAGAATTAATTATTCAACAACACACAAGTACTTTCATGTCGTTTCCCTTTTTGACAAAGTTGGTTGATTGTTGTTAAGAATTAATTATTCAACAACACACAAGTACTTTTATGTCGTTTCCCTTTTTGACAAAGTTGGGTGGTTGTTGTTAAGAATTAATTATTCAACAACACACAAGTACTTTTATGTCGTTTCCCTTTTTGACAAAGCTGGTTGGTTGTTGTTGCGCACTAATTACCTGAACAATTGTATTGTTTACAAAGTACGAATAAAAAGGAGCATTATATTCTGTCACGAATTTAGAGCATCTGTTAAATAGTTCTAAAATAAGAAACTTCTTACATTAGACAGTGAATTATTGTCTGTATGTTCTTTCTTGTGTACTGAGTGTCCTAGGGTGCTGCAGAATATGTCAATCCTTTGTAGTATGGCGCAATAATCTTGTTTTTTATGTTGGTTTCTATTTATTTTAAATATACTTAGAGAAAGTCAAAAGTTTGGTTTTCAAAATGCTCTTTGTCAAAATGCGCCAGCGGCTTAGCGGTACGTCTGTTGGCTTACTACGCTAAAAATCGGGTTTCGATAACCTTGGTGGGCATAGTACAGATTTATGTAGATTTGTGTTAACGTAAAGAATAACTGGAATGACGTAAACGCTAACGCTCACTCTTCATCTGCGGACAATTCTAGTAAACACCTAACCAGCACTAGAGGAACCACCCTTGTCCAGCCAAGAAATGGTGAAAAATCAACACACACACACATTTACGCGCACATGCTCACTAATTATTTAAATAAGGATGATTTTGGAGAATGTTATGATTTTGAAGTTGTACATGAAGAAATATTTAGTTACACAATTTATATGTATAAACTAAAGTTTTCCAGGTATACTTTATTAAAAAGTTCATAATATTGTGCATTTTATACATTCAAATATATTGTTATTTGAAGCGGGTTTTTTTTTGTTTTGAAATATTGAAAATTTAGTGTCCGATTAAATATGAGAAAATTTCATATGTTTAAAGGACTCGGGTAGGAGCCTGAAACACTTTTAACAAATACTGACTCGGGTAGGAGCCTGAAACACTTTTAACAAATACTGACTCGGGTAGGAGCCTGAAACACTTTTAACAAATACTTTTTTTAAATTAAACACAAATCGCTGGACAAAACTGTGGTTGATGCATTGATTCTGAAAATAAATGTACGTATAAAGTGATAACTTCCTAGTTTTTCACTGTAGCTAAAATTAAGGTCTCACTATATAATTAAATATCTTTATAAAATATGTTAATTATTTGTCATATGATAGTGACAACTATTTATTTCTCGTGGACTATCTCTTGAAATTATATGAAGACCAAAGTATAGAAGTCTATAAGCTGTAAGTCGACAGTTATCTATAATTAAAACACATAACTTCTGATTGTGAAGGAATCCTGAAGTCGTGCAGTTAAGAATAATGCCATTAGAACTTCAACCAATTAATTGAGTTTAAATTATCTGTAAAACGGCCTCTAGACTGGGAATATCATTGGAGTAGCACATTATGTTTTTTTCATGTTCATATATCAACCTGTTCTATTCTGAGAGAAAACTCATTCAGGTTAAGTTAATATAAAAAGTATGTGCTTGTGTGCAGACGTATTTAAAGAAAACGTTTTTTAGTTCCTTAGGATTTACATTTTGAAAATTCTTGAACCTGTTTTTTGTGTTTATATTAGCTAATTAGACTAGAATGATGTGTAACTGTATATGATTATATAACAACTAAAACACTTTGTTTTGTAAAGAAAATCCGTCTCCTTATTGATACAAACCTTTTCATAATTGAATACAACTCTCTGACTCCATTGCAGTGACTTTAATTAAAGAGCAAGTTGACATTTCTTTAGTTATGCAGCTCTGCATGAAACTCAATAAACGTTGGTCAGATAAATGTGAAATGCTTATAAAGAGAAAACAAATAACTGTACCGAGGTATTTGACATTGCCAGTTACTTACTTTAAGTCACTAATATTCCCCTTCCTCCAGTGGCACGGCGATAAATCTGAAGGTTTATAACACTAAAAACCGGGTTTCAATACCTGTGGTGGGCATAGCACAAATAACCCATTGTGGAGTTTTGTGCTCAACTACAGACAAATATAAAAAAAAACAGCCTAACATTGGGTAATGTTTAATTTCAATTGTTCTAAGACTATTAGCTTGCTGCTGACGTAAAACATTTGCAGTTTAAAAAAAAATCAATAGATTTCTAATTAGATATTATACACTTGAGAGAGAGTGGGTCTTGATAACAAGACGAGATTTTACTTTATTTGAACATTTAGTATACACGAGCACGGGAAGTTCAGTAGCAATAAACACTGAATTAAAGAAGCAGTATATATAGATAAGAAAATTGGGAACAGCTTCAACTTAGTTGATACCGTGGCCTTGCCGCCCACTAAAACTGGCTGTCACTAGAAAGGGGGAGAGTCATGTCTTGTTCCCATAGCCTACCGTTCTTCCCCTCTCTCTCTAATACCCGGCTCTGGTATACCAGTGTATGGACCTAGATTTTAATGACGCTTATTTTAGATCCACTGTAAATATATCTGTACGAGACAAATGTGCAACTTTTATAACTTATTTCACATGTTTGAACTATGGCTAGTGAGATCATAGCATTTTCCTGGGAGCAAGCCAGTATTAAAATATAATGTTATATGACAAAACATGAAGTTTTCAGTTCATATATATTTTTTGTTCAAATTAAGACGAATGCATTCTTTAACCGTATAAAATTATACATGTTATAACATAACCATAATTTTAATGAAAATTTTGTTTGTTTGTTTGGAGTTAAACACCAGGCTACAGAATGGCTATCTGTGCTGTGTCCACCGCAGGTATCGAAACCCGATTTTTAGTGTTATAAACCCACAGATTGCGGTAAGCCACTTGGGGGCGTTGATCCAAGTCATATATTTAGGGAGTCGTGACGTACGTGTTTAACATTTAGAGCAAGAATTGAGTAGGATTTCCATCATGTGTCTGAAACCAAAATATGTACAGATTTGAAAAAGTGATTTCTCACTTGCAGCAGCATGACCAGCATCTAGCCTAAAGATGATAAATGTAGGACCCCTCTTAAATTTTGCAGACAATTTTTCACATATGTGCTATCAGTTGTGCACAAAACTACTGTGAAACTCATTATTTTAGTACTCTTGTTGTGCAGTATGGAAACTAATCACATCTGTATTAAACTGATATCCTTCTGGTGGGAGAACGTTAATTTATGGACTTACAACGCTAAAATCTGGGGTTTGATTCCCGCGGTGGACACAGCGGATAGCCAAATGTGGCTTTGTTCTAAAACAAATTAAACTGGCTTTTTACCACTTTTTCATGAAAAAAAATGTTCCCATGCAGTGCCAATTTTGAACAAAAATAAAAACGAATGTATCAAATTAGGCAACAAATATAATCTGAGCTCTTTATTTTTAGTACTTAACTACGTAATCATGTAACGATTTATATAGAAGATATTTGCACCTATTTCAAACACAATAGTGTGAGTTAAGACTAACATAAAAAACAAATGTTATCTATGCCCCATAGCCATTTTAAGAGTTTTTTTTTATATGCTAAGATCATAACAAAATAATGCTGCCCTAATTTTTCCCTAACAAAACGTGGAAAATATTCTTGTTTAAGATAACATTTTATATACTTTCAGGTGGATCGAATGTGTCTTTTTTATTTACAATAGATATACCATTTACACAGCAATATTTTCAGAGAGTTCACCTTGTGTGCTGACAACAATAATTAGTACACACTATTGCATTTTAGATACGATAAGAAGTGTTTGTGTCCACCCGAACTGCATTAGGAATTGGCTGAGTGGACAAAACTTTGCCATTCCAATGATGACCAGTGTAAGCAATTCTCTGGTTACGGCCTAACTATTAAGAAGTACAGGCTATAAAATGTGTAAAACTTTATCTATAAATGTATTATTATTAGAGAAAGTTCAGTATCTAG